ACTTAAAAATGGAATTAAGGCAGCCAAGGCGGGCTAAGGAAAATAAGTCACTATTTTTGTCCTTAGTTCAATTTATTTTAAGGCCGAGTCCCTTGTTTAAGGCAAATTTCATTTGAAACATCTAAGTCCAACATTTGTATATATTTGTTCATGTAACGGTTACATTACCCTCCAACCTCTCTTCTCCAAGTCTCGCCTTCTAACCCTATGGCATGGCTGACCAACTTACCAGAAATTGAACATCTCGTGTCCTCGCTCCTGGGTGTTATTATTTTATCAATCCACCAGTGAAGTACCACATGTGAGTACTACATTTTGAACACATTTATGCGCTCAGTTCTTAAACAGTATATAAAATTTGTTCAATGCTACTCTTCGTAATTCAGCCCTCCGCCTACCTATTTACACCATGTTACGCCACCAACAATGGAGAGCTCAAGACTTTGTGTGAGTGCGTCGATCCTCGTTGGAGCTTGAGCCATGCTGATCCTTGTTGTCGCCCGCTGTTCGCAGTGTGTGAGTGCGTCGATCCTCATTGGAGCTCAAGCCACACTGATCCTTGTTGTCGCCTGCCGTTCGCAGTGTGTGAGTGCATCGATCCTCGTTGGAATTCGAGCCACGCTGATCCTTGTTGTCGCCCGCTGTTCGCAGTGTGTGAGTGCGTTGATCCTCATTGGAGCTCGAGCCATGCTGATCCATGTTGTTGCCCACCATTCACAGTTCGTGAGTCTGTCGATCCCCATTCGAGCTCGAGCTATGCTGATCCAAGTCGTCGCCCACCATTCACAGTTCACGAGTCTGTCGGTCCTCATCCGAGTATGCACTGCTTGTCTCCCCACCTCAAATCATTAATCGCTTCAATCCCTGCTCGCGCTATCATCAATTGCTTTCATGCACATTTTCTAATGTTTTTTTCGTTATTTTCATAGAACGCCTTAAAGCCATTGACATCCTTTTTTTGCCTTAATCTACTTAGATAGTTCTGTCTTTATGAAATAATAGTATCCTTAAAGTGCCTTATTTGCCTTATTTTAAATGAACCGCCTTAGTTTAAGGAAATGGATCTACTTTTTTCTCCTTATTTTAAGGCGGGAAAACAGCCTTAAAATTGCCTTATTGTGTGAATTAAGGCACTTAAGGAGCAAATAAGGCACTTGAAGGCACTCGATGATATGCTGATGTCAGCCATTGTTCAAGTTGTATCATTACAGCGGAGAACATTGTTGACAAGTTGAACTTTTGTGCCAGTGAGCGCACCGTCACCTGAACAAACATATACAAATGTTGGACTTGAGAATATTTCCAATGTTGAAACATTGATGCCTGGGAGAAGTTTGCTGTGAGTGCTGTGAGTGCTGTGGGTTACCGTGGGAACTGTCAAAAATGTTGATGTCTGTGACGAAATTTGTGGTTCACTGATGAAATCATTATTTATCTGTTTATTTCCACCACCAAAAGGAAAACACCATATGTCTGGGCCCTTGGGTTACTATCCCCCCACGTGCGGAACGCTCATGATGCATAGCATCTGTTTAGTGTCAAATTACTGTAGTTTGGGAGAGCTTCTCAATATCCTATGTAGCCTTAATGTATACAACAATGTTGAGCCATGCCATTCGCGATAAAATTATTGATCATCTTCCCACACACTAGGACTACGGGGAAGGAATAGACCAGTACCTACTGCGAAAAGTGCAATTGTGATCATGAAATAGTATATCATCCACGCATCATGCCCTTCCTGCATTGAATAAGAGAAGACCGAAGCTGCAGATGCCGGGCCAACGATCCTCGCAACCGAGGCAGCCATCTGCGCGATTCCATTGGTTGCTCCGAGCGAAGCATGATTGGGAGAGGCGGCTCTGATAAACAATGCCATGGAAGCTAGGACTTCTCAGTAAATTAAGACGTCGGAAGTGTTGGATGGACATACGGTAGCACATGATAAAGCTGATCGACAGCGCAAGCTGAACGGCAACACACAGCCACACCGCCATACCTATCCCATGGGCTCGGGCAAGAGCGTTGATCACTGGAAATAAGATGGCGATGGGTATACCGGAGGTAACGCCGGTGATATGGATAGCTCTTGCACCGAAGCGATCATGTAAACGAGCGAAGAAAAGTAGCTGAAATATGCCATGCGCGACGCCTTGTGCTGCAAGTAAAGCGCCGATGCGAGGAGGGTCAAGGGAAAGACCACCGAGTTCAATCGGTGTCGCATAGAAAACAGGTAGGACCGAATTAAACGCCATATGAAACAGGGCCATGGTGACATAACTTGCTGTTACGTTCAACACTTTCGAGGTTAGCAAGGCACGCAGCGAAAGCGGCTTTGATTGGACTTCGTCAAGATCCGCTTCGCCAGAATCGACTATAGCATTGCTCGATAGCTGGCGAGGTTTGTATGACTTTCCGGAGAATCCTCCTTTAATCAGCTCCCAAAGTGATGTCCTGGTAGAAGTGCTCTTGTAACCACCCTTAGTGTGGTCCAGAGATGGGTTTTCAGCGCCAGACTCACCTCTTTAAGACCGAAATACGTGACTAGCCAAGCTGTTGATGCAAACAATGCCGGAATAGAGCATGGTAGGAGATATGGGTAGGCTTTCAGGAGTTCTGATCGCCCAAAGATATTAGGGAATCTCTCTGCTGGTCGGGAGAGCGAGCCGCCAATGAGTGGTCTAGATGTCGTGAACTTAGTGAGAGAGAAAATGGAATACGTATTGATGTATGCCTACCCAATTGAGTTTGCGATCATCCACGGAATTGGTACATAACCGTATGCCTCGGGCATATTGGTCATGTCAGTGATGTCCATCACCATGGTCTTGAGGATAGCATTGCTCGCATCAAATGCTCCGCAGACAACACGACTGGTCAAGAATATCAGTAATCGATGACCACAAGTATTAAGTTGAACACACTGACCTGATGACCAGATCAAGGAAAGTCTTCGACAACCCAAACGAAAACATCGAGACCGAAATTGCTAATAGAGCTATCAGTATTACAGGTTTCCGGCCGATGTGGTCGGACAGTTGACTCCAATGAAAAATAGTCAGTGCATGCGCTACATAGTATGACGATTGCTCGGGAGAATATCAGGAACTGAATGAAGGGGGAGGAATGACGAAGACATGCTTACAAGGATGCCGACATAACGACCAACCTGAGACTCGTCTCCGTGAGTCACTCCAATATCTCTAACGAGCTTAACAAAGTTCCGATTGTGGTCAGATATAAGTATAGGCAAAGGGAATATACTCACTTGGGGAGTGAACGGGGAAAGGGTCTGAGAAGAAAGAGGATCTAACGTCTCCAAGAACAGTACGATCGAAAATTGATCCCAGGGTAGAGGTGTCTTAGTCGTTGGTTGCTCTGGTCGTTGCAGAAGAGGCATTTCCTCGTCATCCTGCCGTGCAATCATGGTGGTACGAGAAGATGATTCAGATGAAAGATGCAGGCCATTTTACAACATAAACTTGTTCCAATGCAATGCGGCAAGGTGCGATCACCGGCATGTTGACAGATGAAACACGATCATTAAGTTTAAATTTCCCACACGGCTGCCTAATCTTAAATTTATCATTGGCCTGCTAACCCGGGCCCTCGCGTGCGGTCTCGAGGTCTGCGTGGCAAGATTAGATAGAAGAGACAAACAATTCCTAAATCAACGACATTGAACGGTTTCAAGTGAGGACATTACTTACGATGGTGCTACAGCATGGCGATAGTGCACTGCTTGTGATGAAAGTCCCGATGCATTAACTTAATACGTCTAGCTACGGATGGCTGTAACTGTATCCATGCCTATCGCGCGTGTACTTATTTATCATCCGCAGGCAATGTGACCAAAGATGACTTTTCGGCGGTCGCTGCTAGCTCGTCGATAAAGAGTACGCCACTCTACATGTGAACAAGCTCAAAATGGTAGGCTCGGAATTACAAACGTACCTCCGTTCAAGTTGCCCCGTATACTCAGGAAGCACTACAGGCTAGTACTACCGCTACCGTGACTCCACAGATAATCGGGGGTATTGGCTTCGGTCGGAGTTTTTATTCATGGCCGACACATCGCGCATGCGGCCACAGTGACCACCGTTGTATCATGATTCATGAGGCCAGCGGGTGACAGGCACGAAAGACATCGAGGGGGGTTGGAGGAGCGCTCACAGCGTCAACCATAGCTGACGTAATAAAACTCCGATCAAATTGAGCCGAGCGGCCAAACAAGGACCCCGTGACAGGTCGTCCGTCGTGTTTTGCGCAAGTTCTTTGCGTTGTTCGAGTTCAACGAGCAGCTCGTGATCAGTCTCCGGTTGGATGTCTGCTCCCCGTCACTACCCCTACTTTACGGGACGTCACGGAGAATTTTCCTACACGACTCGTGATAATCATGCCACTATCCGATATCGCTCGCGCACATTCAATGTTTCATTTGCGTTCAGACTGATCGGAAGGACTACTTATGCGACATGCTACGATTGCATGCATGTGATTCTGAGTGTGTCAGTATTTTCATTGTGTTCCTGCTTCTACAGAGGCCCCGGCGACAATTTATCAGACTTTGTAAGTTATTGAATCCTAGTCCGGCACATAGTCATGACCGTTATACTGGGATCGAATTCTACACGTGCTGGATCAAGATCTACCCCCGAGTTGTGAGTCACACGCAAGGCTCCGGACGACCATATACTAGCCCTCGCAGACCAATGGCAGTCTACCTCTGCACTCGAAGCAGCGATGGGAAAGAGCCTGGGCTTAGCGTGCTTCTAGCATTGCACTTATATTAGTAGTAAGTTCTACACTTATTTACGTCCTGGCTTATAAAATCGACATCAACAATCATAACATTCACCCGCATGATCAAGACTCTAGAGTCTTTGCGGGCCGCGTGGCTTGAAATATTTTACTCGCAGCTTTTCTTAGGCAATGTGATATCCGTTAGAGGAAGATCAAAACGTCCTTCATCGATACCTCCTCTGTCGTTTACTCGAACGCACTCAATCTTCAATTTCCGTTTCTGAGTCATAACATTGGATCCAGGAACATCCTTAGGTTGCAGTTCACGTATACGGATTCAGAACCCATTATGCAGACGACGACGATCAGTGAGGGCCATACGGTTTCGCATCATCCGACATTTGACCCCCATCACAATCTCAAAGAGAGCGACAAACACAACGAACGAATTGAAGTGCGAGTGGGGTCGTCTGCAAGTGATTCAATAGCAGTATCTATCCCTGACCTGAAATCACAAACGAAACATCAGCGGCTGCGCGCACGAGTGCAATTTGCGACAATTTGTGGGTCGATGTACCTAGCTGGATGGAATGATGGGACAACTGGTCCATTGCTCCCTCGGATACAGAAAGTGTATGGCGTAGGTGGTTTGAAACACCTGCACTTCTCTTTGAAGTTTACCTTCCTATCGTCTTGACAGTTGAATTTCATGGTCGTATCCCTGATATTCGTGTTCGCATGTGTTGTAAGATTTCACTGCAGCATGCAAGATTCACCGATCAGTCTGAGTTACTCGATAGGGTTTCCTATCTGGAGCATTCGCAAATATGTACCTAGACGGCAGATTCGGTTTCGGAAAGGTAATTCCATCTTCGATGATTTTTTTACGATCTCTGAGTCACGCTCCGTGGTCTAGGTGATTGTGTTAGGTGAGGGCAGATGATTGCAATCAGAGGTCACAATCGCCTTATCGTTGCTCAGGAACTTCGTGTCAAGTTATAGCGTATGCCATAGAAGCGGGTGCCTTGCCATTTCCTGCATTCGTACTAGGTTACGCCATCAATGGCTTTGGATTGGCTCTACAGGCAAGCCATACAAGTGCAATGGATAATACTGCACGGATAGACCCTGAAATTAGTTCACACAATCAAATGGTTTTGTGGCTAGTCTCAAGGATAGTCCCGAGGTGAAAATGGGGATCCTCCATGCGGTAAGTGTCGTCTTGTCCATGAACTCTCGATTTATCTTACTATTGAAAGGTATATGGTATGTTGTACCTCTTTCATGGCGGTGCAACGTCACGGATGTTTCTATCTTCACTTTTCAGGTGCTGGCGCTTTGTCGTCCCCTTTGGCAGCAACGCAGTTTGCTCAGCTTCCGCATTGGTCATTTCACTACCTGTGCAGCCTTGGTATTGCGTTCACAAACACTGTATTGTTGATTGCAGTCTTCGGGCTGAAAACGCAGGATGGTATGACAAGCACTTGTATTGTTTCCAAAATTGCTAAGCATTTCACAGAGTGCCTCGCTCAGATTGGACAGCCAGCAGGCGAAAAGGGAACGAATGAAAAGAGCCGGTTCAGCCAGATATTGCGACTCAGAGAAGTGCACCTCATCGCCTTCTTCATTTTGATATATGTAGGAGTGGAGGTCACAGTGGGCGGTAAGTATACAACTTGAGTGGAGAAGATGTTCACCCAGAATATTATTCCAGGCTGGATGGTGACGTACATAATCGACGTGCGCGGAGGAGGTCCAAGTTCGGGATATATATCATCAGGGTTTTTCGGAGGTAAGCCTTCTCAGGCATGCTAGGGCTTCGACTGTTCATTTATAAATAGGTATCATGATTGGCCGTGTCGGTCTTTTGTGGGTGAACAAAAAGGCAAGTCTCTATCCTATTTATAGCATGCAACATAGATATCAAAGGTTACAGGTTGGGGAACGTCGTGTTGTGTTCATTTACGCCATCCTGGCGATTGGGCTGGAACTAATAGTATGGCTGGTGCCTTCGATCATTGGTGGAGGCGTTGCGATCTCCATCATTGGTATGATTTTGGGGCCGATGTATCCCATCGCTATGATGCACGCAGTACGAATCCTCCCCGAGTGGCTCGTCACAGGTAATTTCATGTTTAGTAGCACAAGTATGGTCAACTGAAACCTGGATGTAGGGTCAATTAGCTGGATAGCAGGCTTCGGGCAGGCAGGTTCTGCGCTCTTGCCATTCTTAAACGGTGCCATTGCAACGAAGACGGGAATCAAGAGTTTGCAGCCATTGTGGGTGTTCCTTATAGTTATACCTGTGCTTGATAAATTGATTATTGGTGGCACGAAAGTCTCGTCTCGATGATGGTGTTAATGATCGTCTTATGGGCTTTGGTGCCGGGAACTGCTAGGAGACCCAATGATATATGCTCCGTTCGCCATGTCTTGCGGCATGTGGCAGTGGATCTATCATGACCTCCACCCCTGAGTGTCAGCGAATTCTGGCAAGTTTCACCTTTCACCTCCAACCATTTGCAATAATATTGGCAGTTATCTTTCATCCTAGTATGGCCACATTTTGTCTTAGATCATCGAGTCGATTGAAACCAGTTTTTTGTTAAGGTGGAGCAAGAGCAGGAGATTGACGTGTCGGGGAAAGGGACGATCAATCTTCAAGAGAGAAGACCAAGATAGGGACGTTCGTAAAGGGTAGCGAGAATGAGTTATTTTTTGAGTTGGTGTGGATGACGGAATGCGACTCACTCAGGCTTCTTTTGCCTCGGCTGGTTCCAGAAAAAGGAGAAGCTACCACCACCAGTATACGGTGGCCACTGCGACGTCGACCTCGTAAACGATTACTCGATGGGTTCCCTATGAAGTAGCCTAGGTCCAATTCGTCCAGCAGGTAATTGAAACAACGCTAGCGAATCACAGGAGGCCCAGATCTCGCAGTCACTCAAGAACCCTTCGATAACGCAATAAGTAATAGGGTTTAACTTAGTCAGACCTTGGAAGCCGCGTTCCAGGGGTGTTCCATTACCTTGATTAAGTATGCTCGCAGGCATCTCTCGTCCCTTCCTCTTCTCTGGACTCCAATAATATTGATCGTTGCGTTTTCACTCTGTCGTACATGTACTTAAAATACGCGAGCGTGAGAAACACAAGGCATCGAGTGCCTCGTGTCAATTGAACGCAGCCAAACATGCTACCCTGTTGCAGTTCGCTGCCACCATCTCCATCTACTAATCTACAAACCAACAATGAGTGAAACACCGCCAAAACCAAAACCAGGTTCACTGCGCGACAGGATCGCCGCGTTCGAGAATGCTAACAAGAGTGCAGCGCCTGCCCCTGGGCCTGCACCACGCCCAAAGCCCTCGACCCTCCAATCGTGGAAACCAAAGGTACCTTCACCACCTCAGTCGCCAGAATCTGAGCGTAAGACTGCGGGGATGTCTGCATCAGACGCGATGGAGAGCATCGGCAGAGGCGGAAGTCTCAAAGAGCGCATGGCTGCTCTCCAGGGCAAGGTTACGTTTGGCGGCGGCACCCCGCCCCCGATCCTCCCAAAACCTGCAGACAAACCAAGGTGGAAACCACCGCCGCAAGTATCAGCTCCTGAAGATCAGGTTCTTTCGCAAGACGAGGCGATTGATGCTCAAGGGTCTTCTCCCCCTGCTACGGGTGATCCTGATTCTACCGACCTAAAAGGCGAACATGAGGCTCAGCAGGATGCCGCTGAGATTGAACAAGATCCGGAGGAAGAGGAGAGGCAGCGCCGTGCTGCGATCGCTGCTCGCATGGCTCGTCTGGGTGGTGCACGTGTTGGCATGGGCCCGCCTCTGTTTACCAACAAGCCAGCTCCCAAGAAGCCAGTAACCCCTCCACCTCAACCTAGGCAAGATGAGGGAGTGACCTTCGAAGACTCAGAGGGTATGTTATGCCATCTCTAGTTTATTGTATGAAATAACGCGTATCCTAGTGACTCCACCTCCTGCGGAGGCTATAAGCCCTCCCGCTGATGTCAGGGAAGAGACGCAGACTGATCCAGGTCATTGTTACGATCGCTGCTCTCACGTTAGTATTAATGAAGTTCTACAGATTTCTTCCCCACCCCTACACACAAGGATTCCGACTCTTCCTCGCTCTCCATTTCAGATTCCCCATCCAATGCAGCAACTACCCGCTCAATGCCAGTACCCGCCGGTCCACGTCGCGCAGCTCCCCCGCGCAAGAAGGCGTACAAGTCGCCTCCGGTATCCCAGCTCTCAGAGGTTCCTGTGCCTGTTGCGGCAGCAGATGTTTCTGAAGAGGCCCCGGACTCTGAACCCACAGAAGAACCTACGACTACTACTGAACCGGAACTTGAACTCGAGCCAGAGGCCAGACCATCTGTTGTAACGGTGACATCACAAGAAGTAGTCGAAAGCCCAGAACAAGTCCCAGTCCCATCCGCAGAGCAGATCCTCGTCATCGGTGACGTACAGAAGGAGATTGGTGAAGTAGGCGTAAGTGTCGAGCTTGACACAGCCGAGGTGGACCCCGCAGACAAGCTCGAGCAGGAACGTTACCATGTCGATGCCGATGAGCCTGCTCCTGAGCAACAAGACCAGGAGGAAGAAGAGCAGGAACAGGAAGAGCAGGAATATGAAAAGCGTGAGCAAAAGGAAGAAGACGAAGCAGAAGAAGAAGCGCGTAGGCAACGCGTAGCTGCTAAACTCGCTCAGATGGGCGCGTTTAACCCATTTTCGGGACCTCCGCCTGTATCCTACCAGGATTCCATACCCTCAACTACTGCTAGACGTGACTCGATCACCATTCAGTCTGTCTCAGTAGAAGAACCTCTCGCCGTTGATGAAGCAACTCCCTCTCCCCCTGCTGCTTATGTTTCTCCCCAGTCCCATGTGGAGGAAGAACTAGAACAAGCCAAAGAAGCAGGAGAAGTAGATGAGCCCGCTTCTCGTGCTGGTGAATTCTAATTTTACCACCTGTATTCATGTTGTAGTGTATTAATCGATCTTTGGTTGCTTTTTTTGTACTAGCCGAGTTCGATCATGGATCTCAGCCTGACTTGGGGACAACTCGTCGCGTGCTATATCACGATGAGATGGACGAACAAGAACAATGTGATGGTTCGGATCAGCTTTTGAATGAACACGAAGCTTGGGAGCCTGCATCACAGTCACACACTCTAGATACTCCTCTACCACCGGCAAATCCTATCTCGCAAGAATACCAACCCGGCCAGGGTGATCCGAATCAACCAGGTACAAGTGCCCAGGACGAGGAGGACGTATTTACAGATGCTGTTGACTCAGCACCAGATAATGCACCCGAGTTCCTTCAAGTTGCACCGGAAATAACCCCAGACCAACACCAGGACAACGACGAGATGCCCCCTGCTCGTATCACACGTTCAGTTCCACCCCCACCTGTCAATTTATCGTCGAAGTCTTCGATTACACCATCATCCCCACCGCCACCCCCCAAACTGCCGTATGCGCTCCAGGCTGACGAGGAAAGGCCCGAGTCGCCTGCACCGCGACCTGTACCTCCCCCTGTAAAGAGTGGTACGTGATCATTGTACGTGCATAAAGTTGACCTGGCGCTGAGATCATAGGTTGTTAGTTAAAGCCACTGAGAGGCGACCTGCCACACCCCCTCGCGTCGCTCGGCGTACCAGTGCCAGTGTCAAGTCTGCGGATATGGAAGAGGAACCACCTTTCCCACCTCCTCGTGTCGCTCGGCGTACCAGTGCCAGTGTCAGGTCTGCGGATATGGAAGAGGAACCACCTTTCCCACCTCCTCGTGTCACTCGGCGTACCAGTGCCAGTGTCAGGTCTGCGGATATGGAAGAGGAGCCACCTTCCCCACCCCCTCGTGTCGCTCGGCGTACCAGTGCAAGTGTCAGGTCTGCGAATATGGAGGAGCCACCTTCTCCACCCCCCCGCATTTCTCGGCGTACGAGTGCAAGCGTGAAGTCTGTGGATATAGAGGCTCCACCTACACCACCGCCTGTGCCGACCTCTCCTCGCCCTTTGGTGCGCAGACCGACTTCTCCACCAATAATCACTGCACTTCCGCTTGTTGTTGTTGTTCCTGTGACGAGCTGTCATGTTGAGCGAGGTGTGTTATTGTCGGGCTAGTATCATGGCAACTTCTGATAGCAGTATCCTTTGGCAGAGTTATCAGATGATGAGGCACCCTCCCAGCCTCAGCGAGCTCAGGAGCCTGAAGAAGAGGATGAGGATTCTGTGCGCAAACGGACCATTGCAGAGCGCATGGCGCGTTTGGGCGGGATCCGGTTTGGTGCACCACCAGTCCCCACGCCACTTACTCGACCTACTTTTCCTCGTGCACCTCCCCCGACATCTATCCCTCCTGATGAACCTGAAGTTGATGCTAAGGAATCCGAGGAAAGAGACGAGACAGTAGAAGATGAGGCTGCGAGGAAGCAGCGGATCGCCGTAAAACTTGCAGGTATGGGTGGCATGCGATTTGGGATGCTGCCGCCCGGCGCGGGTGTAGCACCTGCCACTGCTCGACGACTTGCACCAAAGCAGGATGATAGTGAGAGTGAGGATGCTGCGCTTCCTGTACCTGCACCCGCACGTCGGCCATTGCCACCTGTCGAGGTCGATCCGGAGCAGGAATCCCGCCAGACATGGTCGGAAGATGACGTGCGTGTTGAAATGGAGGAGAGCGAGGTCGAGGAGGCGTATTATTCAGATGCGGATGTTAGAGAGCCGGTCGAGGAAGAGGGCCCGCCCTTGCCTCCACCCCGACGGTCGTCTTTGACGTTGAAGTCTGCAGAGGTACTTCCGACCCCTCCTCCGCGTTCACCTCCTCCTGTTGGAAGACCTCCAATTCCATCCATCCCTACTGCTCTGCTTAACCGTCGCTCTAGTATTGCGACGGGATCGTCTTCCAGAAAGTCCTCGGTTGACTACTCCAGTGCGACTGAAACTCCCGTACAGAAGCAGCGAATACATACAGCGCTACCCTTGGAAAGAGACTCATCAGATTCTGGTACCCCATCAGAGTATGTGATGGTGGAGCCTGAACCAGAGACCGAGGAAGAGCCTGTTGTGCCTCCACCTCGCCGCTTCAGTCGCGCCCCTCCTCGCTCGTTCCCTCCGCCTCCGCCTCCATCCGCCATCGACCCTCCTGAACAGATTACTAGCACTACTCAGTGGGAGCTTCCGTCGATCCCCCAGGCTACATCTGAATTTGGCGATGAAACGGACCTAGCTTCATCCAGATTCTCAGAAGACTCAACGTTCCATGGATCCACTTCACCAATGCATCAATCCGACTCTCGCCGCACCTCAGGGCAGACTGCTCGTCCCGTTGACCAGCAGCTCAGCGCAGACGACCTCATGGTGCTCTGGGGCAAAATTGGAGTGCAGGTGGTGGAGTCTGCAACTGGGTTGTTCGAGAAATCTAAACGCTCGCTTGTTGGCGATGGTTCGTACGCGGGATTTGTGAAGGCTGTTTTGGCACAAGTACCCGATGCGCAACGCGCCTCAGGGGAGGGTGAGGATTGGGGGTACTCTATCTACGTGCAAAGTGCCGGCTCGGTGCAGCGCCGCGTTGCTGATATCCTACCGGGCGACGTGATCGCCTTTTGGGACGCGAAGCTCAAGGGCCACAAGGGGCTTCACACGTATAGCCAAACTGTTGGCGTAGGGGAGAACGGTCCGCTTGTAGGTGTGGTGAGCGAGGTGGAGAGTAAAAAGAGCAAAGTTCGCATATGGCAAGCGAATCAGCATGTCGGTCAGCAGGTGAGTTTACTACGAAGATGGGGGTGGAGGCCGAACAACGCGCTGACACCGAAGGCTACGCAGACTGTGGAGAATGTGAGTTATAGGTTGGAGGATCTGAAGAGTGGGGTTGTTAAGGTGCGTTATCTTCTCTTGTTTGGTTGAGGGTTTTGCTGATCCGGGTTTTTTCTGTGTTGCGATGCTTAGGTGTTTCGTGTCATGGCCCAAGTATGAGCAGTTTTGTATGTACGGATTTTGTAGGTGGATCGTGTAATACTTTGGATTTCATTTTATATTCGGAACCGTATAATTCCATGTGGACTCTCATCTAGGCATTCATGTGCACGCACAACTACATCAGTCGGACTCATCGGTACTCTTCTGGCTTGATTAGTAACCACATACCATGACTCAATCGGCGACACCTTGAAATATACTCACTATCATGATGAAGCTTTGAATTTGAAGCCTACCAATCGATGATCACGCCCATACAATCCAGTCGTTTTTTCTCCACCAGCTGCGGGCCTTTTTCACAGATTCCGAGTCAGTAGTCACACTGGGACCTCGTTTTTTTCATCAGAATGAGCCCTTTGGAGACATCATGTTAGATACGCCGTATGTCACAAGTTGGACAATGGTCATTTGCTTCGTGTGTATTCTCAAATTCCTACTAGGCACAGACTCAACCCTTTCAAGAACCGAGTAACACCCCGGAGCCGGAGGGCGCTTTTCTTCAAGGATTATTCATGCAAGCGCTTCGCTCCCATTCCCTTTAGCTGCCCTCAGCCATGGCGACGTGGAACGTTGTGGGCGACATGGCGAATGTCGGCGGTGTTGCTTCCATAGTTCAACTATCTCTGCAAGTTATCTTTGCAGTCAATAGTTATGCTTCTTCCGTTGCAGGGGCAGAAGCTGCACGTATGAGCCTTCGTAACGAACTCCTCTCCCTCAATACAACTCTCAGCGAAATATATATCCTCCTTCAGCAGTCGAATACTGCATTATCAACACAAGCAAACAACTTGTCCCCTTTGGAGAGCGCATTAAAGGAGTGCGAGAAGGTCTTGCAAGGTCTTTGTGAGCGGATACCAGAGAACAAGCGTCAAACATGGATCGGTTCAAGACTAGCGTGGCCATTTCAGCAAGCCGATATAATGAAGGCTGTGGATACATTGGAACGTTGCAAAAATACCCTTTCGCTAACGATCGCTAGTGGTATCTTGTACGTGCTTTGTATTTGGATTCTAGGCCTTGATACGTGATTAATGCCAATCATCATTCTAGGTCACATGTTGCAGAGATAACGGCTACAACCAAGGAGATCCAGCTGGATATAAAGGATGAGGCAGAAAATATTAAGCAGGAAATTAGCAGGAAAACCAGCGAGGTTAAGGAAAAGATCGGAGATGATGCGTTAGCGATCAGAGAGGACGTTACAGCTGCGAAACTGGCAATCACTGTGCGTATATCTGACTGAATCTCAATGCGCGCTGACTCCAAACGATGATTAGAACAGGTTCGATTACGGCATCGCCTACATCACGTCCGCACAGGTAATGGTCATGAAAAGGCATGAAGAACAGAAGATGGAGAAGTTGACTATACAAGCAGAGAGTATGTCTATCCAGCCACTAGCCGATCACTTCCCATTGTTTATAAGCACAATCACTCAGGCCAAGAACGAAAGGACTTGCTACAGTGGTTGGATGGGTTCAACTGCACGATCAGGCATGAAGAGGTTTCCGCTCAACGGGAAGAAAACACGTGCACCTGGGTGTTCGGAATGAAAGTTTTCCGTCAATGGAAGACACCGCCAACAGTGCAACGTGGTAAATTCCTATGGATCAATGGCAAACGTTAGTACTTCTACGAACTTTAATTATGACTCTCTGATTTACTATACTTCAGCTGGAGCAGGGAAAACTGTCATTGTGTGAGCGCTCATCTTTGATACCAGCACATGCATGCCAACATATACAGTTCTGCCATCATCAACGAGCTCGTGGCTTGTGGCGAGACACCGGTGTATTTTTACTGTGACTTTCGTCATGAAAGAACCACAGACGGGGCTATCGTTCTACGCTCCCTTCTTGCTCAGTTACTGAGACAAGCACCCGTTGATTGGAACTCAGAATTTAACGACCTCTTTCGTAGGAAATCAGAAGGGGCTGAAGCTCCGGTTGACATTGCGGTCTTATGTGACCTCATCTGTCGCTCTTTGAAATTTCTTGAACGACCCGTCGCAATAATTGACGCCCTTGATGAATGCAAGGGCGTTAGTACAATCCTCACACGGCTGGTTCGCACAGTGAACGAGGGCGATTTGCGACTTCTAATCACCAGTAGGACGGAGCCGGCCATTTCCAGTGCTCTGTCCGGCTTACCATCGTTGTCGTTAAGCGACTATACCTGCTCAATCAATGACGACATGGAACTTCACATCGACAGAGCGCTGGAGGCTCGTTCGAGGCTTGCATCTCTCCCACCGGATCTGAAAGATGAGATACGAAGCTCGCTCTTGCAGCAAGCTGACGGGATGTCAGTGAACGCCTACATTTATATTTCATGACTGATACTCTATTCGTCAGGTTCCGTTGGGTGGAGTGCCAGCTGGATGCTATCAGCGCTTGCCGATCCGTCAAGGGGATATCGGACTCGCTCAAGAGTCTCCCGAAAGGCCTTTACGAGACATATGACAGAATTTTACAGGCAATCGAAGAAGCTGGGCCCGATCGCAGGTCTATCGTTGAGCGGACGTTGATGTGGCTAGTCGCTTCTCTGGAGCCACTCAACCTGTATCAGCTTGTTGAGGCTTTGAGTATAGAGATCGGAAGTACAACACTGAACCAAAACCTCAGCGTTATGTCCCCAACCGATCTCTTGGAGATATGTAGCTTTCTGGTGAGCTTTGATGAGAGAACCTGTGTTGTGACTTTGTCGCATTACAGTGTGCGGGTAAAGTATATTCCTCCCCCTACAAGATGGTTTCTCATGCACATTATTCCAGGAATACTTGATGGCAGGCGAAAATGCACAGAAGTACCGCCATTTACTAGAAGATGCCCACCGACATATTGTCCAGTATTGCGCGCAATATTTGGTCAGCGATGATGTCCTCAATTCCAGCAACAGTCCTATGCTGCGGTATGCCCTTGATCTCGGGCTCGGGGCGCATATATCCTCTATCATCAGCGAGGAAGACTCTATACTTTCTTGTCTGGAGGATCTCCCGAGACAGATATGCATTCGACATCCTTGGAATGACCAAGTAGCTCTTGTCAACCCCTGGCAGATTTGGCTTGCCGATCCCAAAAGTATCTGTGACATTCTGGTTCGTTTCGGGCCTGAGTGGATGATTCAACGATATCTGCGAAAGCATCGGGAGCATTGGAATAACGTGCTGCAATTCGCAATCTTGGAGGGACATACACAGCTCGCCAATATTGTCTTGGATGTCGGAAGAGACCCTAATTTACCCATCACAATTGGCTCAAAGACTACAAGCCCTACGATGTTTGCTATCCAGCACAGTCCACAGGAACTCGTCGAATGCTTCCTTCGTAGAGGTGCTCATCTCCCAGTTGACGCTATCCATACTGCGCTCGAGGAACGGCAGTATATTAACTCTGACATCCTTTCATTGCTCATTCAACACGGGGCGAATGTTCGTGTAACACACGTCCATTTTAAAGATAGTCCTCTTCACACACTCCTTCGCATAGATGCTCAGAGCCAGGAAGTGTACCTGGAGGCTTCACGTGTCCTTGTTGATGCAGGGTGCGAATTCGATACTCAGGACCAAGAGGGACGGAAACCTCTCGACATTGCCATCATCAAATCATTCCACGCAGTCGCGCAATACCTCCTCCAAAAGGGTGCTATCGTCTCGGCGGATACTATTTGCAAATACCTTGAGAATGAGAGCTTTGACTTTACCCTCATGTCTATGCTCTTACGGCATGGCGTGGATGTGAATGTGCAAAGTAGCGGAGCTAATCCCCTCCATATTCTCTTTGGTTACAAAGAATGGACCGACGACTGGCTCGAGTTAGCAGACCCATTGCTCAAAGCAGGCTGCCCAATCGATGTTGAAGATGATGAAGGATATACGCCACTGTACCTGGCTATCAGATACGGGTCGTCCACATTATTGACGCATCTTATTGCATATGGTGCTCATATCCCTCTGGACGCAATTCATGATCACTTGGAGGCCTATTGGGTTGACCGTTCAGTTATCCATACCCTTATCCAACATGGAGCGGATGTGAATGCGGTGCGCAATGGGGCTTATGCCCTGCATGCCCTGGTGGCCCACGAGAATTGGAGAGATGACTGGCTCAGGACAGCACAATTACTTATTGAAGAAGGATGCTCAATTGATGCCGAAGACGAAGAAGGTCGGACGCCTCTTCACCTGGCCATTAGATGCGGATCGTTGCCATTGGTAAAAAATCTCACTGGAAAAGGCGCCTGCATATCGGCGTACGCAATCCACGATTATCTTGAGAATGATTGGGTTGACGATGCCATCATCTCCACCCTCGTTCAGCATGGTGTTGATGTGAATGTGCGACGCAATGAACGCAATTCCCTTCATTCTCTGCTTCGTCATCGGCACTGGAAAGAAGAATGGTTCAAGGCAGCGCGTGTACTCGTTGAAGCGGGAGCATCGTTGGAAGCTGTGGACGAAGCAAGTCATACGCCGATGCAGCTGGCCATAATGCAGGGGTCAGCCACCTTAGTGAAATACTTATCAGGAAAAGGTGCTCGCGTTCATGCGGACACTGTTTACGACAACTTCGAGAAGGGCTTGATCGACACTGCCATGGCTTCTGTACTTCTCCAGTGTGAGGTAGACGTCGGGCATGATGGTGGGAATTTACTCCATGCCCTGACTAGACGTCTAGATATGCGACACAACTGCATCGAGATAGCGGTACTCCTGATTGACGTGGGGTGCTCATTGGATGCTACCGACGATGCCGGAAACACTCCCCTTCTTCTTGCCATCAAACAGCAATCATCGTCTTTTATGCAGTATCTAATAGGAAGTGGTGCCCGCATTCCTACGGATGCTATCCATGTTGCACTTCAATCCACTCAAATTGACCTGGATATCATTTCGGTGCTCATTCAGCATGGCGCACACATTAATGACATGCATCTGGGTGCCAGCCCTCTCCACACTCTCCTCACTCGTTGGGATTGGGGAGGGGATTGTCTTGAGACAGTTTTAGTCCTTGTCGAAGCGGGGTGCAGCTTGGACGCCACAGATCAAAAAGGGAACACCCCCCTCCATCTTGCCATCAGACGCCAGTCGCTCCCTTTAGTCGAGTATCTTATCAACAGAGGGGCTTGTATTCCAGCAGATGCCATGCATGATGCGGTTAATCCTCCTCACAATTCTGGGATCGACTTGAATCCCGACGTTGCTTCTGCTCTCGTTGTTCGTGGCGCAGATGTGAATGCATTACGCTGTGGTGCCAACCCACTTCATACGTTGCTTCGTCGCCCGCAAAGAGGTGACTGTCTTGCAATAGTTCACATCCTTATCAATGCAGGATGTGAATTTGACAGACGCGACTCAACTGGGTATACGCCACTTTGCCTTGCTATAATCCACGAAATACCCTCGGTGGCTGAATACCTCCTCCTGAAAGGTGCTTTACTGCACACAGATTCCATCGGCATCGTCATCAAAGATAACGATGTGGGTCCCGATATTATTCGAAACCTTCTCCAGCACGTTGCAGATGGGGATGTGTCCAGTCAACTGCTCATGCTATCATTGGGCCATCGTTCATCATCCCAGTTGTTGCATGATATGCATGATAGCAATTGCCTAGAAATCGCCAGAGTCCTCGTTGACGCGGGATGCGAACGAGACGCTGTTGAATACTCACCCCTCATAGATCTCGCCATCACCCACTCACTCCCATGTGTCACGCAGTACTTCCTTCAAGTGGGCAGCCCTATCCACATAAATCATCCGGTACACGTCGCGCTCAATAGTGATGTGCCTGATAATCCTGGACAGGAGCAGTGGGTTGAGACAGACTGCCGATTCCAGACCATGCAGGCCCTTATCGAAGCTGGACATGATGCTAAAAGTCGAGACTCAGTGGGACAAACACCGCTTAACATCGCTATCCAGAAGCGAATCCCGTCTGCAGTCAATTATCTCCTCAAAAAACTTGGTCGTGGACAGCTTGATTTCTTCTGTGGAAATGGACTAGAAGAACACAATGCGGAGGCCATTGCGACACTGCTTCAGAGCAGCACTCCACTCCATGCTTTGATCCGCAATGTATTTACAGGTCCTGTTAGCATTCACGACTTCTGTTTTTCAAGCAACGGGATGCACGGTCCTTTCTGCGAACGAGACTGTGGAAAGATACTTCTCATTCTCATCAACGAGGGCTTTTCGGTCAATGCTATAGATTCGTCAGGAGACACACCCCTCCGTATTGCCATTCAACGCCAACTCTTCCTCGTTGTTGAATATCTTCTTCGACGTGATCCAATATGTGACGTCGACGATGTCATTGCCGCTTTCAGCGTCCAAACTCATGCGTGGCAGCACCTTCTTCAAAAATACATGTCGAACATGGACCCCTTGCATACCCTCATCTCACAGATGCACTCGAGCCACAATGGCGTGGATGAAGATGTTTACCTAGCAATTACGAAGGGCCTGGTACAAGCTGGCTGTGATGTCAATGCGCGGAATGGCAGTGGGATAACTCCTCTCCAGCATATGAATAAACTTGAAGTCGAACAAGGATACCCTGTAGTCAAATCTTTTCTATGCCAGGAAGGAGCACTGTAATGTTGTGACGGTCTAGTTGTTTGGAGTTTCTTTGATATTGGAGATGATGTCGAAACTGTAACGGATTATGGTAACCTACATATGTGATATATTTCCCTGTATCTTGCTACAGCTTTGCAATGTACAATATGACCCCGTCCTTCGCACTGCTTATCGTGGGGTATCACAGCTGACAGTCAATAGAATTTTTTCTAATGGCTGCACAGGGTGTTCAGAGGTCGATAGAAGCACTCGGCTTATTACTATGCACGTTCCGAGAAGCCATAGTAGAAGCAGAGCACGATGATCCAGCTTTCCATACTCTTCACCTTGACCTCACAGATGCTCTCGGCGAATATACCCTGCATTTCTATGCAGGCAAGGGGCGGTGCAACGCAATGGGGTGCTGGGCACCCTTCAGCCAACCTTCAGCGGATTATACCGCTAAGTACTCGGTATACGACCACGTCCGTTGATAACTTCGGTCGCATTGTGTGTTCAAGTGGATCATTAATTTTGCCAGTACTAGTAAGTTCGATACTACAAAGTAAAGGCACACATTATGGAGATATCATGGGAGCGCATTGAAACCTGGCTGGCTCCAAGTCCGTGTCATCAGTACTGATGATACGTGGGGGACCGCAGACAATCAAACAATGGGACTCACTATTGGAGAATAAGAGAACGCGTTATTATCGACAATGTATCCTTTCGCATAGTGAGCTACAAGTCATTGACAGAAAATGCGTACTCACATAATGAGGCACCGTCAACCTTGACTTTCTTTGCAGGCTTTCCTTGGGTGACTATAGAAGAAGTATCAGGTTGCTGACGCTTGCCTCGTTTTCTCTGGCAATCAAGAGGGTGCGAGTCAGGCCGATGTAAAGCGAGATAACGCGTGATACTGACAAATCTCTCATCAAATTGCCTCTTCCTGCACAGAGACACGAATATGATGAGGTGTCAAGCAACACAAAAAGCGATCAAACTTGCCTCGCGAGTGCCTCCTCAGCTTTCCGTTTATCCTCCTCCTCCTACTCAGACGATCGAGTATATCAGCAAATTATCTAGGTAAAGGATAGAGGATATCTACGAGGGCCCACCTTCCTGCTCCTCTGGAACCTTTCCAGAAACGATCCATCGTTTGAGAATACGTTGACCGGTTTCGGTTTCGGCGGGACCTTGGACGAGGTATTACCAGGAGAAGTTAAGGACGGAGTAGCTGTGATCGGAAAAGCGTATCCTGAGTAAGGTTGAGGTGATGCAGCCATTGATATTATGCTTTGGCAGATGGATTTCTACGGGCTCCAGTGGGGCTGGATCAACTTCGGTTCTTCCGGAAGCCGCTACTTTTGTAATCTTATTTATTTGTAGTCTCTTTATTTGTAGCTGTTGGTTGTTCTAGGACATTCGTTCGGAATCGCTGGACTCTGTAGCAACTCTGATAGCACTTGTGACTAGCGGGACCTCGCCGGTGCTGCCACTTCATGATCATGCACATTCTCTAGCAAATGCATGTTCAACCGATATCGAACAACCATTTGCTAGAGAGTGTGCATATCCTGCTGCCACTTTCGCACTTTCAAGTTTTTCTCCGCTTCACACGGACCACTCTCGCGATTCTGCCATTCACATACCACGGCCGCCGCTCCTAGACGAGATCGTAGTACATCCAGATAATAAGCATAATGGAAGAAGATGCGTATAACACGTTGTATTTTTCTTTTGCCTGCTTGTGAAACATCTTGTCACAGATCACAATACGCCCAAGAAGACTCTAGATCTTCCGCAGCTGATTTCTTAGCTCGTGGTTTCAGGTGTCTTCGCATGCAGCCATATCTTTTCCGAGCTGGTCGGTTGTTTGGATGAGCCTAGGGCATTGCAAGCAACAGGCTAGCATGACAACCCAAAGACCACGACTTACATATCAGCATGCACCGATCATCCAGTAACCGCAATGCAACAATACCGCTGAGTTCATGCAAACTTCCGCGGACACTCTTCTGAGCAGAGCTCGGGTTACAGCCATCGTAATCGACAAACTTCCTGGCGCGACAGAGCTGGTGTATACTTGATTGTTTGACGTCGACGTGATTCAAGTGTTCTTGTATCATGCCAGAAAAAGCACTTCGATGCTTGTACCTGACGTATGCATGAACGTTTGAGTACCAATCGTAGATAACCCTACGTATGGTCCATAACTCGGACACGAGCCCTCACAATGACTAGAACATCTCTTTACATTGGTAGGCAACTGTGCTGGGTCACATTGGTATTAAGGTATTCCCTCGCGTCTGCCCCTGACGATAAATCGTCCCCCTGCGTGTAAAACGCTCCAAGAAGGCGTTGCGAAGGTCGTAGAGGGATGTACAATATTCTGCAAACTGTTCAGTCTTCGCATCGGTCATGATGCGGAGATAGTTCATCTCACCTTCTTCGCATAAGTCTTTCATATTGAAGCTAATTAGCTGGTTCCATCGGTGCATGCATGCGATCCGTTCCAGGGGCCTCCTGAGTTCCCCGTCGCAGCTTCTCCACATATATGAACGTCAGCACTACCAGGTCCAACATATGTTCGACTGGCGAAAAGACCTCTAGGTATGCATCATGTCCTGGCTTGTTGAAACCAATATCCATCGGGTGATGCCGTGCGACTTCCTTGCCGTCGAGCATGAGCTGACAGTCATGCAATGCATCACGTTATACATTTTTGTTGAAAGTGATTGAAAATAAGCGCAGCTGACTTACGGTGCAATTACGCGGGCCGATCTTCCACTTGTATAACAGTCCATCGGGACCTCGGAAAACACGCCGCCTGTAAAGTATTGAAACAAGTGAAATGGTCCATATGTATTACGCTCTCACCGTCCAAGAATCCCCTTATTCGGAATGAACTGAGACGCCAACAAATCCATCCCGTCATACTTGATGACAGATGAAGCAAATGTGTGCCACTCGATCTTTGCGAGGACTTCTGACGATTCTACTTTGCCAACATTGAATTCGTTTGGGACGTGCTTCTTGACGACGGTCACACGAGTATCGAACGAGAAGGCGGTCGAGGTCGAGTAGAGAACATGACCCTGCTCATTCTTAATTACGGTGTTGCGCACATGAGGTGGTTTGAAGATGAGCTTCATCTCCAGTATCTGTGGGGATTAAGGATATTCGCAAGGTTCTTATCGTCTGCAGCGACAAGTTGTGGCAAAGTAAACACTATCATGTTATTCGTGGGTACATGTTAGGATATTTTTAAACCTTGAGTCCTGGAGGGGCGTGACGTCATACACAAGAAAACCTTACAGCAAGACGATTTAGTAGGCCACCGATGCATGATGTTGAACAAGAAACCCGCCTTGACACTGGGGACGAACTGTAAAAAAACTTGAACGCGTGTTCAACAAATATATCTGCAGCATACACGAGACCGTACCAAAATAGCTTCAAGCTGAAACATTAGACGTCAATGTCAATCTAGTGTATGATTTACGATATCGAGCCTTGTTATCGCTGCTCACAAGACCTGCGTCTCACCGGTTGCAGATCTTGGATTGGAAGACAGGCCTATGCAGAACCCTACACATGAGGCAAGAATCTTGATGTTGAGTGTTTTCACAGCTGCCAAGTAGCAACTTGAAGAAGCAGAGAATAAGAAACACTCGACTCACCGAAGGAAGCTTGAAATTTGTATGCAACTTGCAGCTAGGGCTTGTGTGTTTGGCACAGTGGGCGACCCGACGGGTAAACCTATTGCCCCGTCACGGGGTCGGAACGGAAGAAACACCGGCTATGATTTGATTGAACACCAAGAAGGGTTGCAGGGCACTCGGCTACTGTCGGTAGTAGGTACCCTGCGGTTGGCAGTGAGGGTGTCATGGGCCTACAGTGTTAGATCGCCGATACACGTTTCTTTCAACTGCCAACAGGACAAGTACACGCATTTCCAGTGCGCTAACCCTTCTACTCCCAGTGATGGATGGTTCGTCCGAAAGATGTATCGCTGATCACTGCGCATGCTCTGGCCTCCACAGTCATCGTCATGGATGACGACGGGGAGCTACATAGCCGCTAGGGTACAATTTTTAGAAGGGACTATAATTATAGATCACACAAGGTGATCGCGTAGCTTTTAGTTGACATCATCAGGCACGTGTTTCCGGTTCTGTCGCGTAATGTGGGACCAGGGGCACCATATAAGGCCCTCACAATTACAACTGAACCAGTCCTTCGATTTCTCTCCCGAATTTTGTCCTTTACCCCAAAAATCACATTCAACAACGACATGGAGTCCACCGCCAAAGCCACCACCAACCAACCCCAGGCTGCCATTCAAATGAGTATGTTTTTTGCAACTAATAAGACATATCATTCATGGGCTGCGGGTCGGTTTGAATAGATGCTGTGAACCCTGCTCCTGCCAAGAACAGTCAGAGGCAACAGGAGCACCATGCTAAGCGTCTCCGAGGAGGAGGAGCTGCCAAAGTACAGTTTCTCAAAAGTTGAAAGTCGAGAATGGTGGTTGATTTTTGTTCGCTTTACCTAGGACTGCTTCCTTGGTGCACTCGAGTGTTTCCTGTGCTTCGGTGAGTCCAGACCCCCAATGATACTTGGAAACTGTAGACTAAAACTCCTCATATAGAGTGCTGCAAGGTGATTGGTGGATATAGCAACTCTTTCGGGGTTAATCTGACTGCCACCATCATTTCAGGACTGCTGCGAGTGTGGCGCAGATATCATCTGTGCGTCTTACGTCCCTTTACAGTTAGAACAGCGCTGACTTGTGACATTTAGGCTGCCCATGCGAGATGTGCTGTTAAATGCCTCGCCTTCAATGCCCTCTCGCCTTCAAAGTCTGCTCGTGGTCTGCACTTTTCATTTCACAATCATGACTTGTAATACCGCCTGTTCGATTAATATTTGTACTGTGCGATGAATCAGTCGATGTAGAGATCAGATATCTGCATATTACCTTTGTTTTTGTCTTGGCACACTTGACAAGCGTACTAGTATTTTCGGGCCTTCGGGGTTCACGGCAATTAAGTTGCGCAGTCACTGCGGGCCGGGCATTAGGGGCTCGGCAACGTTTAGCTGAGGCTAGAGTTGCTGTTTTCCGGTTGTCCGATTCGGGTGGATGTTCATGGAACTCAAACCTAGTAAGTATGCTTCCTCACCCTCACCCTCGAATCCAAGCCAGGATTATAGGTTCGCCAATGGACCAAATGATAAGGACTAACTTAAGTTCTGTTCGAGTTCGAACCCCATTGCCAGACCCGAAATAGAAATTTCGTTACGTAAGATACGAGGTAGCTTTGGCTGATAGTTGTTCGCGAATGTGACGACTTTTTGTAGTCCTCGCAATCAAGCTACTTGAACCAGTGCGTGAAATAACACTTCGTCCAGCATTCAACAACCCCGCGGGGCTGCCATGGCAAAGCTACGTGTATCTGCTAGTGTACATCAGATCTCTCAGTCGACATTGATCGAGCTGTCCTCCACAAGCCTGACAGCTTCTTCCAAAGCATCATGTCAGTCATGATGATCGTATCACCGAGCTTGTGTAAAGGGACGTCCTCTTGAAACGCGCACAGTTGGCAACTACGCATCGAGTCTCAGGCCTCCACACATCGCCGACTACGACGAGCGCGCGCTGTCTGGGGTCAGCGCCAAGCCTGCGTGCCCCAAGGTACGTGATTACTCATCCTCCATACCCCCGTGCCCCACAACGACCAAGCTCAAACAGTTTCCTTCACATGCCCTCCCTCCCTGGATGGAACGGACCAAGGTGTTATAACGAATTTACCCCACCACGCGGGCCATAATGTCAAGGCAGTAGTAGCAACCCAGCAAAGGCCTACAACAACCAGTGTTGCTGTATTTGTCGAGTGGAAAACATAAATTCCCAGAGCAGTAACGAAGCAAAACATTCTGCATGGACGTCAATAAACCTTGAATCATGCGATGCACAAATATTGCTTACCCCCAGATTAAGTATGCATATGGAAGGCTGTACATGATCGCTAGCGCTTCGACGTCTGATTGTGTGTGAATCATTCGGGCCATGAACGATGCCTTGAAGGACAAATGAGCATTATGGACCTTTTAGCATGCAACAGGCAACGCACGGCGCCTTCAGCGGAGTCTGTGCCCCATCCGCGGCTCTCGACGGCGAGAAGTATGGATACCACCAAGGAACTGACAGTGCACATCGTGGACAGATAAATGACCACGGCTGCTGCACTGATGACCCCGGGAGCACACAGAAAGCTAACGTCAACTGCCAACATCACGGTGGACTGGCCAAAAAAGTTGATTATGACAAGTGAAAGTTTAAGAAAACCGCTTACAAAGATAGTGACGTTGCTCCAGTCGCGATTGAGTCTGTTAATGTGCTTGTACCACTTAGGATAGTTCAAAATATTGTCTACCCATGTGTTTCTCAGGAATTTGTACTGTGCAGCTGGTGCGCCCCAGAGGAACACGTTCGCAAGCCTAAGTCGGAATGTGCCCTTTTGTCTACTTTGTTCAACTTCGTAGACCGACTGGTTAGCATTGAGACGCGCGCCGGCTTGTCCATAGAAATTCAAGAATTTTGAACGAGCTGAATGGTCGATTCAGTGACCATGCCCATTGTCTCTTGACGGTTTCTATGCTCACCGAACAACCGCATGAGGCGAGCTTCCGGTGTGTAAGTGGAAGAATGCTACAGGAGGAACATATAGCGCACCTAGTACGCACGTGAGATGAGCAGGTAACTCCACACACTCATCACTAGATGGTGTTAGAGGCCCTACGTATTCCACTATATGGTTTGAAAGGTCCAGCATGCATTGTAGCGTAGAGAGGTCATAGGGAACAACAGAGGTATCGGATGTTAGAAAGTCTACAAAGACGTCCTAATTCATTGTTACGCAAAGACTGGCTGGGAATAACCAACCTGAGTGTGCGTGAAGGAGAACATGCTTGAGTTCTGTCGCAATCTGAGGCTGGATGGGAGCATTGCTTGGGTATAGTTCACAGTGCATCCTTCACGGTCATGATGTCGGCCAACGAGAACTTTTAAACTGAATACATCGTTAGAGATGTAGGGCAAAATGAGCGATAAGCTACGTACACAATGCAATTGACGAACCAATACTGTGCCTCAAGGGCGATTTCTGTTGTTTTCCGATAAGTTAACTTATTCCAAGAGAGCCAAGAGACACCCACTGATGTGAGTATCCGATTTAACACCCTTGACATGTTCGTAGATACATATGGGCTCGTCGAATTCCTGCAGCCAGAACAAGAGTCGTTTATCGTGCTGCACGAAGTAATAATTACATGCGTCTTCTTTCGCTTGCAACTCTAGAACTAGATGTGTCGAGTCATCGATTATATCACTGGCTTTCAAGAGTAGTTGGTAAGCCAGATGATTGATGGCCTTGAGAAGCCTTTTGCTTCTCAGATTTGCGTCCGTGAAAACGTGCTTTAGGGAAATGATAAACACAGGCAAATAATCAAAATGAGACAAAACATACTCGAGTGGCATCATAGAAGTACAACGCTCCCTCTGGATGTACGACACTTTCCCAACCGTCGACAGGCGTTTCTGAAAAATCCTTCTTTTTGGCTGGGATAGGCTTGGTCTCGATGTCACTCCTTCTATATCACGACCAATAGAACAGTTGAGATCAAGAGAACCTGATAGAACGAAAAGCATACACAAGTACCCTTCCTTTGTACCTCTGGCAAAGCTGCGGAGCCAACGGTTTGAACCTTTTGGGATCCCATTCCGTTGGCAACGCAGATGGTGACCGGGAATCGATGGAAGTGCTGGAACCTTGAGCAGGATGTTGACTGACCTGGACCTGAAGCTGGTTTGCCTGGATAGGTGAGCTCTGACTCAGATCGTTTACTGGCGCAAGGACTGGATGGATGGTGCTCGCAGCTATAAAATGTGTTGTCTCTGGTTCTGCATTACTGTTCGTTGGTGAAATCCTCTGATAGTATGCAAGGAGACGGCTCAAAAGCGTTTGCAAGCCAGAAGCCCGGATACCTAACTTGCGAATGTAGAAAATACACTGGCGTACGATGGACCGGATATGTGGTGCAGTTGTGTTGAACAGGAAGCCTAGCCAGGTCAGGATCGCCCGTAGGTACAGAACCATGAAAATGAGGCCCAGCAAACTTCAAGCTTGACTCCACCGAGTTGACCTGGAGGAGACGTATTTGGTCAGCGTCAGTGCCAGCTGTGTTACGTTACGGAATGAGCGCTTATCCGGGCAAAACCTATTTTTGCAGCTTGTATTTCTACAATCGTGTCATTCACCGTGACCACGCTTTTTTTTCTTCCTGGATTAACTTGGAATGCTTTCGAGCCTTGAACCCTTTTCTCAGAAACCGAAGGCTCCCATAAGTCCAATCCACTTCGTGTACGAGATCTTGGCGCAGCAGTCACGACAGGCGGCCATCTAGGTCCAGTTCTAGGTCGTGGCCGGTTCCAGTATCACGGTAACCGCCACAGGTTGGCTGGCTCATTTTTTGACTCCGCAAACGCCAAAGGCAGCGCCGCGCCCCACGGGCTTTGATCAAAATTTAGACAAGCTTCAACGCCGCGAACACACGGAGACCCCGCCTCGTGTGCATTATGTTTGGTGCGCGAATGCAAACACTTGACGGTATTATTCGTTCATTGTGAGCCTTGATCAATGGTTCATTACCGTGCTTTGATGTTGCCACAGGTAAGTATATCATAGATTCATGCATCCAATACTCGATGTCACTGATCTGCGCCAACACAAGATGGAACCTACACTGAAATTCTGGAGCCAAGACAGTCATTGCAATAGTCGAGCTTCTCGAACGACAGAATATCAACATCAAACCCATGGTAAACACCTAACAATATTTTTGCATTTGAAGCGCTCGGAGAACCACAAAAAGGGCGGATATAGCAAGTCTTCTAGGTTATGGTGATTGTATCGCCCGGGCTGAGGCTTTCCATGCGAAGATGGAGAATGGAATGGTTACCGTGCGTGTCATCGCGTGAAGATGCGATCCTATGCATCAGAGGACTGGTGAGCCGCAGATATTGTCATATATGCCGATATATGATCATATATAGAAAATGTTTTCGTTATATTGGAATATAAAGCCATGTATGACGTCGGAAAACCACCGCAATCAACGTAAAGCACCCTGGGGAGACTCACGAGTTCTCTGATGACTCGTCTGCATGCTGCGACATGTGACTACTTCGGATTTGTATTGTTAGCACCGTGGAATAAGGATTCTGAAGCAACGGTGTATTTGTACGACGGCTCTGCATGTGCAAGCATCCGACTACGACGCGACTTTCGTAGCCTGCCCATGAATTTGCTGAGCATGATGAAGGTCCGACAATGGCGTTCTTGGTTTATCTGATGGATCTCGCTTTTAGCTCACAACCTTTACCGGCTCCTGCTGAAGTCGGCACTGCAAAATACAATGGCCACTGACCGAGGCTGTACAATCAGAAATCGGGCTTTTGTGCCTGTTACAGGCTTCTCGTCTCCCATGTGTGATTTCTCTTTCGACCTAGTATGTATGGCGTCTTATGTTTAACAGGTATCAATGACACAGCATGTGTCACGATGTATCCGCCAGTGCAATGCATCACCGTCGCATCAAGTACACGATCGGATCTACCGAATAGAGTGCGCTGTTGTGTCGAGCTTGGCCAGCGAAGCTAAGAGAACACAGATGCTCATTGCGATCGCATCACGCTCATACCTATGTTAGGTCAATGGCCACATGGTTTCATACAGAACACCTCGAAAATAGCCTTGGAAATAAGTTTGCGATATCACTGACCACTGACATTTTTCTGGCGTCCGAGTAGTCGCATGCGTAATTCTGGGTTGTAAATCAAATTCTACTTTGATTATCCAGGGCTTCCCGATCAAGGGTCTCGAGGCGGGATCAAATATACATCTCCCTTATACTGATTTTGGCGATAGAAATGCTGAACGGTGGTATATCTAGCACGAACGCTGTCGTTATACCACTAACCTTCCCCACTCGCTCACACCCATCCCTCGGACATGACATACGTCTCAAATGATCCCAGTTGGTGGCCGACAATCAAGTCGAATTTTTTTTTCAAATATTGGATGGGTTCGTCGCATCAGGATGTCTAGATCCAACGTTGACATGTAGTTTCGCAGTTGCAGCGGGCGTCATGATGGTATACGATTGGGGTGGGCAGGACAGTGTTCAAAAACCGCTGATATTCTCATGATATTTCTAGTCTTAACACTCGGACAAGAGGTACGTCGATGTTATTGCCGCAGCAGCCAACTAGCTAAGAATGGTGTCATAGATTGAACTCATCTGGGTGAGTGACAAGAGTCCGTATCAGAAGAAAACAAGAGCATGCAATGAATTTGCGACAGAGACAACGTTGGTCTCTCATGACCGTGCTGTATTTGATTGTTAGTACTCGTGTTGTGCTTTGGCGTGGTGGGCAACTTGTGCTGACTCCAAAATGTTCTAGATACGCTATATTGGAATACCGTATTTTCTGCATGTGTCAAGACCAACAGCTTTGCATTGTGCTAATAGCTCATCTCTAACAATTAGTGTCCATTTTCTGCGTATGTCTCATATGCTCTGTATTTCATTTTTCTGACCGGCGAGACACAGAAACTATGCCATCGGTATCGCTGATAGATGCAGTAAGTATTCTGCAACCATATCATTCCAATCCAATCAATACGCTCATATGCAGGGGGCCCGGTGAGTCGGATTCCAACCATTGAACTTGGCTGAACACAATGACTCAATAGGTGTGAGTCGGAGTCTTTGATACTGGTGCGAGGGCGTTCACTAATGGGAAGTTTTAGGCACTATCGCATACTACGCAATAAGAGGGATAACTATGGCCTTGATCGCCATGTTGGGCGGTGAGTTACCCAGGTACAATACCTCTGTGATATTGACCTGACCGACACACGATGCAAGTCATCACGATTGCTCGGTTACATGCCATGTATCAGGGATCTAAAAAGATGCTTATGTTCCTTGTTGCTATCTTCCTGGCTGTAAACATCACCTCCGGAGTAATCACAGCAATAGAACTAAACGGTCACCTTGTACATGGTAAGTTCATTTGTCAGTTGACTTGAAGAACACGGCTCATTGGACAAACATCAGAGGAGTTGATACTCTCTGGCACGTATATGTGCTATTATGTATATAGAGGGTACGCGCAGCTTCTGAACTCCATGGCTTGGATGCTCAACACTGTTTGGGAGTTCTTCGCACTGTGCCTTTCAGTCTGGGCGGCTGTGAAACACTTCCGTGAGCTGCGACGACTCGGCCTATCGACAGGATTGACCATCGGGGGCTGCTTCGGAGTGCTGATACAATCTCACGTTCTTTATTTTGCAAGGTGAGCTTGTAATGTGAACGCGGTTATAATTTTCTGCTCAAGTTCCACACATGTTAGCTTTGCTGGTGTCTCTTGCCTCCAGCTTGCTTATCCTTATCTCTCTCCAGAAATCGCGGTGCGCCGACCTGTCGCCAACATCTGCGTGTAACCACTGCTCATCAGTTCTATAGAATTCAAATTATATTAGAGCTCTGACACTCGATGGTGCTCTTCAAATTTTATCGGTTGTGCAGATGTTTGTGCTGGGACCACGCCTCATCCTGAGCGTTCGAGAATACCACGCCAAACTCGTGGCATATTCCGATGCAGAAACTAGCATGAATTCTATTGTTTTCCAGGAACATATATATGTATCAACTAGCAGTACTGTGTAGGGAAATACTTGCCGAGTGGTCTACATGGAGAAGAACTTCTGGAGGATCCGTCGTAGTATTTATTTATTTAACATATAGGGTTTCGAAGTATATGTATGTAAAAGGTCCAGGCAAGCCTATTTCTTGTTGTATCACTACGGAGCGCAGGTCCTGTGCTTGAACCAAGTGGTAAGGGGAAATTATCCGGGACGACTAGCAACCAACCTGGTCCTTCATGGCCGATATTAAAATACAACGAGAATCAGTCACCCATACTTTCTTCCCATAGGAGACTTCTTCATGTTCTCCCACTGCAGCACATTATACTGGATGGTCTCGTAATGTCATCAAACCAGATGCTATGCAAGACACTTGCGGCCGCGTGGCCAGAACTGGTCGAATTCTATTTTACACCCGCTGTCGCACCGATAAACCTCGTGATTATAGAGCTCAGTCTTCGCATTGCCTCTTCAAGCACCTCCCGTGAAAACTACTATAGATATCGGCAGCCTGGTGACCTTCGCAATGCATTATTTAAAACTATTGCGTACTCGTCAGATGTAGCAGAGCTACCGGTGCTTGATGATGAAACGCTTGCCATGTTGTCCTCGCATCCCGTGCGGTCTGAGGCCTTGCATGTTGACGTTGGTGAACACAGATTCATCCCCTGCTGATATGAAAGCAGTGAAAGAATTTCTTGCGACGGTATAGCCTAGCAGATCGTACATGCCAGCAGGATTAGTACGAATTCTCAAATGGGTGGTATGAAGTACACCGCAACCAAGTAGTTCTAAATTCGGCCCTTAACATCGTATACAACCGTCACATTGGATCATGTGTAGGGTTGGTCTGTAACATTCCTCGTTTGATGGGAGCTACCAGGAATGTATACACGACAAGTGGCACGCATCGACACACTGCAGTCGCAGTCTAAGTAGCTGTACATTCTAGCTTCCTTTCGTGTTGTGCCAGTCATATAGCAATACTTGAGGCTGAAATATTTCCGCAATAGCTGAAAAATGCAATAAGAATAGAGTAAAATGATACAGTACGCAGCTGAAACTTAGACTACACTTTCTCTATCCATCCGCCGGCGCTTACGCTCTTGCTCCTCCATGATAAGCCGTTCTGCAGCTGACATCGGCGCAGGCCGTTTCCTATCATTTCCACCGCCACCCTCTGAACTCTCAGACTTGGCAGGCGCAGCAGACTTGAACACGTTAGGCCGCTTCAACGGGTTAACTTTGAGAGGATTTGCTCCGGGCTTTATGGCAGTCAGCTTTAGCCCTATCGGAGCAACTTTGGCCGTTGTATCCGATGTAGCCACTGGCTTTGCAGATAATGATAGAACAACCTTCTCCGCGCCCTCTTCTCTCTTAAGGCCCTCCTCAACGGGGGGGCTCGCACTTTCCTCACCACTCGCCTCTTTCTCCAACTTTGCCCTCTCAATCTGCTCTGCAATAAGAGTGCGCTCCCGCTGTTCATCGTCCCGCGTAGCTCGATCCTTTTTGATAGAGGCTTCTTGCTTCGCGAGAGCTTTCGGGCTGCTGTCGATCCACGCAATGAACCACCCTTTTTCGGTCTCGTCCACGCGCGC